TGGCAGCCAATTTATTCCTCTCATAATGCTCTAACGGATTTTTTTTTTCGTTAATTACTCAATGACTTATTGGCCTGAACACGTCGCGCGGAATTTTTCAAAAAGTAAAAAAAAAATTAAATTGTCGCACAGCGCTGAAATTTGGTACGATGGCTTTATTTATTGTTCTCATGAATATACTGCAATTCTAAACATGCTACTATTCAAGACGCCGCAGAAAAAAACTATAGAAGATAAAGGGGTGCTGTCGCTGAGTTTTTTATAGCAAAAAACTTCAGCTACAACAATCATGTGAAATTTTTTGCTATTGGACCATCCCTTTGAGCAGCGTACTTCATAAACCGCAAATTACCCCTAAAAACCACCCCCAACTTAAAACCCTATGGAAGTACAAGGTCGCAAACTTAATATGTTATTTAGCACATGAAAATGGATCGATCCCCCCAAAAAAATGTTAACTTCTAATTATGTTGAGGTAAACCCTCTTTTCAGATCCTCGTTTCTTGGACTAAAAAGATGTTTTCGTGAATTTTTTTTTTTACTAAACAGTAAACCGAATTAACAACAAACCATGCAGCAAAGTACTTATATACGCTTGACCGATTTGTTGGTATATGTTTTATTTAAAAAGAGTTAGCCCTTTCACATATACAGGGTGTTAAAATTTAAAAAAAAAAAAACACTTTCATATCATATAAAGGGTCAATGCTAAACTTAAAATTTTCAGGAATTATTGATGTAAGAATGATATTCTCAGAAAGGGGCGAATTTGCAGCGCTTTTAGACTTGTTCCTAACCACCAATCCTGACTCGTACACAATTCAAGTAGATGCTCCACTTGGTTCGTCCGATCATAAACTTATAATAACAAAGTGCGAAATGCTCATCCCACCAAGCCTACAACCACTTCCTCGTAAAATGTGGCACTATAAATCGGCAAAATGGAATGACCTAAAACAGTATTACCTGGATTTTCCATGGCAAGAGGTTTGCTTTAAAACAGCTGATCCCACTATTTGCTGTAATGAAATAACACAAGTAATCTTATCTGGAATGGACGCATATATCCCACATACAACTAAACGTAGAGCTAATGCAAAACCTTGGTTCAACAGCCAGTGTCAAACGGCTGTACAGAAAAAACACAGAGCATATAACCTTTGGAAACGACAACAAACCGCTCAAAACCACACAGAATTTATAGAAGCCAGAAATAGTTGCAAAATTACTATTGACTCCGCTAAAGAAACATACAATCAAAGAATAAAAAACAGGTTGCTGAATTGTCCAAGTAGTTCTAGGTCTTTTTGGTCTCTTGCAAAAGCTGTTGGATCTAACTTCACCAAGTCATCCATACCACCACTTACAGATAAAAATAATCACTTAGCCACAACATCAGAGGAAAAAGCCAATATGCTTGCCCAAATGTTTTCCTCCAACTCCAACCTAACAGTGCCAAACGGAAAAACTCCACCGTTCATTGAAAGGGTTTCCCATAGTATGCCAGAGGTACCCTTTTGTCACAGAGAAATACGAAAATCCCTAAAAAAGCTGGATACAAACAAAGCAATGGGTCCGGATGGCATTCCCGCAATAGTACTCAAAAATTGCGCCAACGAACTCACCCCAACTTTCGCAAAATTATTCAATTTGTCTTACAGGCAAGGAGTATATCCATCATCATGGAAGTCTGCCGCAGTACAACCCATTCCAAAGAAAGGAAAAAAGACAGATCCGTTAAACTATAGACCAATTGCTCTACTTCCGGTGATATCAAAAGTAATGGAAAGAGTTGTGAACAATCACCTAACCAAGTACTTGGAAAAGTACAAAATTATCAACGATAAGCAATACGGATTTCGAAAATATAGGTCAACTGGAGATTTACTTACATTCGTCACTCACTTATGGCAAAAAGCGATTGAGTTGCGGGGTGAAACAAGAACAATTGCCTTAGATATATCTAAAGCATTCGACAAAGTTTGGCATGAAAATCTGCTCAACAAGCTCAAAGCAATGGGATTATCGCCGAAACTTTGCACTTGGTTTGAAAGTTACCTAAAGGACAGATCCATTTATGTTGCACTGGATGGCCAGAACTCCAACTCTTACCAAATAAATGCTGGTGTGCCACAGGGAGCAATCCTTTCGCCAACTCTTTTCCTGATTTACATAAATGACCTCATAGATAAAACAGTAAATCCACTTTATTGCTTTGCAGACGATGGCAATGTAGTCTCCTCACTCATACCACCCACAGGTCTTTCCGCACGTGAATTCCATCATCTTAGACTAACTCAAATATCGCAGATAAATAACGACCTGGAGATAATAGAGGACTGGGGTAACAAAAACCTTGTACAGTTCAACGCGCAGAAAACCCAAGCAGCTCTGTTTTCAAAAAAGACCAGCACCGGTGAGCCAAACATCATGCTATCTGGAAGTGCTGTCACATTACAGAGTCAGTTGAAAATCTTGGGGGTTACTGCAGAGACCAACATGTCTTGGCACAGTCACGTGGCAGATATTGCTAAAAGGGCCTCCCAAAAGCTGGGGGTGCTATTTCGTACAAGACATCTGTACACACCAAGCCAATTGCTGACACTCTACAAAGCCCAGATTCGACCAACTATGGAGTACTGCTCACATATATGGAGTGCAGCACCCAAACATACCTTAATGCTTTTGAATACCGTGCAAAAACGAGCTATCAAGCTGATCAATGACCCCGCACTTACTCGTAACTTGGATGGTCTCGAACATCGCAGATCTGTGGGCGATTTATCTCTCTTCTACAGGTACTATCACGGAAAATGCTCTGAAGAGTTGGCACGTATGATTCCACCGAGAATAGCACCTACCAGGCGAACCCGTCAAACAGACGGTAACCATGAATTTACTGTCAAACTAGAGGCACCAAGAACCTCATTATATCAGAATTCATATCTCTGGAGAACAACATCGCTGTGGAATAAACTCCCTGCGACGGTTTTCCCTTCAGGTTACGACCTGAACCGTTTCAAGACCAACATACACCGACATTTCCGCGCACTTGCCGCTTCTCGAGCGTGATAGGACATTTCCTTGCGAGTGCGCATATCCGTAAAAAAAAAAAAAAAAAAAATTTGATAGTTCGTATAATGCAACCTCATTTTCTATCTGGAACCACACAAAAAAAATGGATAAAAATTGCTTTTTTTTCATTTTCTCGCACACAATGCCCTCCATGAAAATGGTTCACATATTATTTTGTGCACGCCTCCGATACACATGCATAGACACCAAAAGAATTTTTTCTAGTACAGCCCCTCTAGGCAAGAAAAAAAATAAAGGGGTATAAAAAAATAATTTTTTTTTTTTGCTTTTTGGTTAGCACACTAAATAAGCTTATTTGTTGGAAAAAGTTAGACCCATAATAAGCAGCCCTTGTCCTACCAGAAAAAAATTAATAAAACAGAACTTGTCGAGTGTGCGAGGTTCAACCTTTGTTTCCTTGGCTATTATTGAAGTAAATTTTAGGGCTAATAGAAACACATAATGTCGCACTTTTCCTCTTCTATCATGTGTATGTAGTTCTAGACTAGTATTTTTAGAAATCGGTTTCCATTATATTCTACCGAGGTGTAACTAAATAAGTCGCTGTGTGCTGTGTGGCTTATCGCTGATGGCGAATGTTTGTTAACGAGATTACGAACTTTATTTACCGGTAATATCCATTATATTCGATGATCAATTTTCACTGCCGCTATCATTTTTATCTTTTCAACCGTCCCTGCATTGTTGCCGTATTATTTTTTAATGGGCAAAATCTAGCTTTAAGCCTATGTCGAAAGTATTCATTCTGATAATGGAATAATTTTAAGTCAGCAAAAATAATGACAATAGACTGATGGTTCATGTTACAGCTATCCACTATCTGGGAAATCATAAAGTGGTAACAACATGGGGGGTGAAAATATCGCTCATCAGAATTGTCAGTAAAAATGTTCGACCCACAGGGCTATGATTCTTCTTGGAAAAGCACTAACCCAATGTAGGAATTAACGTCAGAAAATTTTTACTGTCTGTGATTTATGCTTATCAAATCAAGCAAGCTTTGGCAACACCGTCTTTACTCTGTAACGTGTGTACTTTATTTGACAGACAATAATTCAGTTTATATATGCACTTTTAAAAATAATGTTTGATATTTCTGTGGTCCTGAATATTTTTATCGCTTTGTGACTGTGCTTTTTATAAAATGCATTGGGGTGGTTCTAATTTGCCTAATAGTGCATTAAATAAAGTGATATATTCTAATAGAAGACCAAGAGTTCAAATCAAAGACACAAGGAATTACGTATGTGATATTTTGACTTTTTAAAACTATAAGTTTGACTTATCAGTTCTGTTATGAATGAAGCAGGGGCAAAGTTGTTAAATATAAACAGAGTGAATTATTTTTGGGTTGGGTAACATTATCAAATTGTTTTTAGTCTGACTAAATCAGATAATCGTTTTTTTGTTTGTTTGTCAAGGAGCAGTTATTCATTTGTGCGCCTATATACAGGGTGAAACACGCTACTAAAGAAAGATAGGAACATCAAGCCGGCGTGAAGAGACTATTTTTAAGTCTGAATTAAATGTGTTGTCATTTTGACAGTTAGATACAAATAATTTGTGATTATTATACAGTTATTTGTAATATTCTTCAGACGAGTATTAATTATTTTCGATTCATTAAAATTTTTAAAAAAATATATGTGGTTTTCATCCCGAGGTGAAGTGCTTGAATGACCTTTAATTTGTTGCTAAATTTCGCCCTGTCAATATTTACGTTGTTCACTTTGTTATGATGAAAATTAATACACACAAATGTTGTACCAATCTATTTTAGATAAGATACCAACTATATTTTCTGTTGGGGTCACGTTATTTCCTAGTAGAATAATTAATTTATAGATTGCTATACATAGTTAGGATTCGAATCTATTGAATTTAATATCGATTTTTTTTTTCAGGGTAATTCAACCGGGATAGTTCCATTGCCACGTGGAAGTAAAGGTCCTAGAAGTTTATACCTTAGGCGATATGAGGATAGCTTCGGATTTACCCTTAGGCATTTTATCGTATATCCTCCAGAATTGGTTGGTGTAAGTATAATTGTTTCAAAAAGATGGAATGAGAATCTGTCGGAGTCAATGGAATGCACTAGTTTTCAAATTGTTCGGGATAAAAGCCGTGTTTGGGTTCGCAACTCTGGCATTAACATGACACTCGTGACAGTCAAAACCGCTGATTTTCTTGTAACATAACTTAAGCTTAGAAGTTGGGCTCCAACTGGCGAAGTAATGCGCATCCAGCTACGCGAATTGCGGCAATTCGCGCGACAACTTTTAGTTCTGAACTAATTAACAGCAATCTAGAAGGCATTTGAATTTCAACCTAATCACTCTGTACATCTATCTCGTGAAATCCGAATCTGGTTTACTTTTTCGAACCGCTTTGAATGGGAAGATACTGGTTGAATTAGACAAAGCGAAATAATGTAATTTTTTTGATGCGCCGAGAAAACTCATGGGAGAAGTACATGGAAAAAAACTAGTTTTAAAAAACAGGAAAATACATTTGTCATTTACGCACAAGTGACTTCAACCTCTAACGCCGACCTAATAGTTCATTAGCTCAAACCCCTGATAATCCCCTTTCCAATTAGAGTTTTACCAATATCAGAAATTCTCATGCGATTTTGTTTTCTATCGATGAGGTACCTCGTACCTCTTTTTGAGTATATGAAGATTCTATCGGATGAACTAGATCTCATCCGACGGCCCGACATAATCTTACTCAATGGAAATATATCTGACCTCAGACAGTGAGGGTGCATTTATTTTTGGCAGCGTAGGTATTTTTCTTGCCATCATAGGAAAACAAATTTTTTGAATCTCCCATTTTATCTAAAATATAATTTTTTTGATGAACTGATTCTAAGTAGTTGCTCTCTTCTTTTTCTGTTTCTTGTTTGTTTACGGCCTTGCTAATAGCCACTTGCCTTGCTACTAGGCAGCTGCTGTTTGAAACGCATAGGCATAGATAGGTATTTCAGAATTCGTCGGGGTTACATATCTATTTTTTGGCGCAACATGGTCACTTTCACAAAAGATCGCAATTGACTACAAACCCCGAAAAATGCATTAGTCATGAAATCCCATTGAATAAATGGCCGCCTAACTTCTTATGGTGGCCGCCCAGTGGCGCTAGCATTCAAAACGACGCTGCATTTTGTCGCATCGTCGCGCGAATCGGCCGGCGCTTCGTCAGTAGCGCAACGCTTCTCGCCGCTCCGAAGTTTTTACCTTCTAAGGCTGCAGCCGCTGGCTGTCGGTTTTTGTGCCATGCTCAAAGACGCCTCTACGCCTTCTGCGCTTCTGGTGCATGCGGCAGTACCCCTACCCGTACGGGCCTATTCAGTTTCAGTTTGCTCCGCACTTATACTCGCGAAACACTCCGGCTTGGTCAGTCTGCACCCAGATAGCCTAGTGGAAGTTCTAGAACCATCAGTCGTGTCCCACGTTGCGAAACCATACGCATGTCTATAAAATCGGAGTGGTTCTGAAAATCTGTTTTTTTGGTTGTGACAAATTAGGAAAAAAAAACATTTGTGATAACTGTTTGCTTTCAAATTATAGGAAGACGATGGACGACATGCAGCATGCGGGGCGCTACTCGCACCTATGGACACCATCTTTGTGAGGCACGTCCGCGACAGGAGCTCAGCGAAACAGGCAGGACTTCAGAGGGGCGATAGGCTGGTGGCCGTGAACGGGGTGCCAACCGCTGGCAGAACTTATCAACAAGTGGTTCAGCTCATCACCAACAGTCCCGAGTATCTCCATCTGCTGGTTGTGCCAAAAGAAGAGGACGTTCTACAGAGGGTAGGTAATAAACAATTAGAAAACTTGAAATTTACTGGAAACTCAACACTATTAACCGAAAAAGTCTAATGTTTGCGCGGCCCTAACGTTAAGCTGCGCATGTTATGATTTTTCAATTACTTGATATTTTTATTTTGTAGTTTTTTCCTGACACCGCCTACAACCCAGTCTCAAATCAGCCCAGTGGCTATCCAGAAGGTCCAATAGATCGAGCGAGCGCCCAGAAAATCCTAACTCAGCGCATCACTCAACGAGCAGCAGGAATCGCTCCTCAAGAATTTCGAGTTGATGCTGCTTCCTGGCGTTATCTTCAGCAACAACCATATTATGAGCCGCAACAACAACAACCTCCATCAGTTGCTATTCAGCATCATAACGACCAGAGGGTGGTACATCGTAATCCTACCAGGCAGGAGTTTGCTAAAAGTGGTCATCAGCGCAGTGCTGAAAGTATTTTAGATTCAAGAGGTAGAGGTCCTTATGGTCAGCAACACCAGGAAATTTATGCAGAGATTCATCATCCAAATGAAGTAAGAATGTTTATTTCATTTTATTTGCTGATTATTTAAAATCCTAAATTTCTAGGTTCATCTACGTCAAAAATCCCGGGCACAACCCCAGGTGCCTCTTTATCGAAAAATGGGTCGCAGAGCAAGCGAGGGCAGTAATTTACTATCCAGTGTTGACTACAGTGGGGTTGCATCGTTAATTTCTTCTGACGGTGGCGATTCTGAACATAACATTGATAATATGAAGGCGATGCACAATAAACCCTATCACTTGCTATCTGGTGGCGACAACTTAACTACTATGGGATTACCGGAGACCAAATGTAGATTACCTGGTTCAGAGGCAGCAAGGAGAGAGAGTTGTGTCTCTCTTTCTTCATCGATAGCAGATAGTAACACTTCCTATGGCTCTAATTCCACCCTAACTGGACATGAAATCGACGATTCCGTGCGGTTGTCACGGGTGCGGCAAAGCGTGCGACAAAAAGAAGAATTTCTACGGACTCCAGTATTTAGGGAATTTCATGGACGTCCTAAAAAACTCGACCGTCCCGTTTGGCCCCCCAATGAACCATTACCTATCCGGCAAGATAATAGACAGGCATATCATAACAGTAGCAAAGTTAGGAACGATTACGACAAGGGCGTGGCTACTTCTTATCAGGGCGATTTTGGGGGTATTCCTAGTCTTGCCTCTCCCTCAGTGAGTGCTGATTCGCCTAAAGATAAGCAAATGCATCAGGAGGGCGTGCGAGAAGCTGAAATGGCCCCAACTTTTGATGGTGGGATCGGTGAAATGGCCAGAGAAACGACGGGCGATGATAGAAGGTGAGGATTTTTTTTTTTTACCGCAAAACTTGATAATTATCAATATTTATTCTATTATTCCAGGAGTGTTATTAATTATATTTGGGCCTATTTATTTCCCATGTAAGTTAAGGAAGATTCCCCCACTTTCCCAAAGTTTTATTATTATTTTTTAACTAATTTTATAGTATGGCCTTTTGAGGCCATACCTACGTTGAGTTTTGTTTTTGTCCGATATTTATTTACCAATGTGCTAACAAAAAAAAGTAAATCACCGATCGATAGCAATATAAATATGTGCTAATTTTTAGGATGAACAACCCCAATGCCCACTTCCAAAATGTCCAGAAGAAAGCAAAAGAATTTGAATGTTATCCAGATGATAACCGTAGGGACTTTTCTCGCAGCGAATTGGCACGATTGAGCAAAAAAGTGCTTCAACCGAAAGTAACGGAACGCGCACAAGAATACGAAGTTAAGACGACAACGAACGATACTTTACGCAAAGATCCTAGCAGCACTTCTACAGTATCTGCTGGTTCTACGTCAGCGATAAAAAGAATACAGAGGGATAGTCGATCTTTGGACAGTTCAGGTAAAAGTCTATTTTTATGAATATATGTAGTAATTATCTACTGTGAATATTTTTATGTGAGCGTACAAGTGAAATTGTGTGGGTATTAGGTAGCAACAGTAGCATCTACGAGCCGCTATCCGGTCTTGCCAGGCAAAGGCTCTCCGGAAATGTGATGATTTCCACTGGGAGCAAATATATTCATTGTCCACCTCCTGGAAATGAAACTCAAAGGAGTCCAGGTTAGGTTTTATTGGTGTGGACACTCTGTAACAGTAGAATAATTGCGATTCGAATATTTCTTGAATATTCATAATAATAATTTATTGTAGTTTTGAGTGTGGACTAATGTAGATTAACAATTTGTGTTGTTTCATTAGCGTATTGGCTATAATTATAATAGAGATTGTATGTTTTGCATGATCTTTATTAAGATTTTTTTAGTAGGTATAGCAACAAAAATACTGAACAAAATTTGAAACAAAATCTTTCTTGTGATCTGGGATCCTTAAAATATTTAGGTACATGGTACATGTTATTTCAGAATGCAAATTTTTCATGCACTCTCTAGCTAGTTTTTTTATTAATTCATTTATAATGGTGAATTCACAACATATGTGAGTTCATCTTAAAATAAAATGCGAAAAAGTCCTCTTCTCGCAATCCTTTATTGAAATGCTACTATAGCTTCGGGGTCTTCAATTTACACCCCATCTTCAGCCAAAAAAAAAAAGATACAAATCACAAGTAGGTATATCGAAAATGAAATATCGCAGCCATAGGATTGATATCAGTCAAAAATCAAAATTACATAAATATTGCAAGAATAAAAAGTTAAAATTTAAATAAAAAAATAAAAAACAGTTGTAATTACATTAAAATTAAAAGACGATTAACATTATACGTACCTAACATAACTTAGACAGTACAGCTAGGTGGTTTAAAAGAAACTATGACTGTGATATTCCAATGAGATATTTTGGATGTACTTGCGATTTAAACACGGAAATCAACCTCCTACATCACAACTTGCATTTTGAGAGCGTTGCCACTCATTGCTACTCTCTTGCGGACAACCAACCTTTGCCAATATCTTCCAAAGAGCGTCTCTGTTAACCGAATCAAATGCTTTCACTAAATCTATGAAGGCCATGTATAGAGGGCGATTTTGTTCCCTGGGTTTCTCTTGCATTTGTCTTGTGCTGAAAGTCATGTCAGCTGTACCTCCGTTCGGTCTAAAGCAACACTGTGTCTCTGGGAGGTTCTCTTCGGAGCTTGGGATTGAACGATTTGATAATACCCTGGCAAGTATCTTTCCCGCAACAGAAAGTTAAGATATTCCTCTATAGTTTCCACATCGAGCCTTGTCTTCTTTTTTGAAAATGGTAACTATGGAGGCATCTCTAAGGTACGGTCTCAGTAATCATATTTTACTTATTAGGATGTGGGTTTGGTCACCTCCTTGTTTAAAGAATTCAGCAGGAATGCCGTCAGTACCAGCTGACCTATTGTTTTTTAGGTGTCTGATTGCCTTTTCAACCTCCTCTAATCTAGGAACCTCGCTCAGTTCTTGTATCGGTTTCTGTGGAATTTCATTGAAGATGTCATCATTAATTTGTGATTCTCTGTTGAGTAGTTCGTAAAAGTGTTCCTTCCAACGAGAATTAATGGAGGAACTGTCTTTAAGCAGTCGTGTGCCATCTTTGAATCGGAGAGGATTAAGTCCTTGAGTGGTTGCTCCGTATACCATCTTAGTAGCCTGAAAGAAGGCTCTGGTGCTGTTGGATTCAGCTAGTTGCTGCATTTCATCTGATTTCGTTATCCACCATTGGTTCTTTAATGCTCGCGTTTGCCTTTGAACTTCTGCTTTTGCTTGTTGGTATTGCCTTTTGTTTACAGTCGAGTTGGGGTGGCTTTTCCATGCATTATGCGCTCTTCTTTTTCTTTCTACAAGGTCTTGAATTTCAGTGTCGTTCTCATCAAACTAGTGTTGGTGTTTCTTTTGTATGTAGCCGACCATTTCTTCCGGGGCAAATGTTATTGCGGTCTTCAGTATTTTCCAGTGCTCCTCAATGCTTTCCGGGTACTCTAACGGAAGTTTCCGGCTTAGAGAGGCTTGGAAGTTTGTACTGATATAATCGTCTTGAAGGGGTTCTATGTTAAATTTGCGTTTCAAATGCTTTTTTTTACATTTTTGTTTCCCTGGCTTTCACTCAGTGATTTGGTTGGATATTCTTGTATCTGCTATTCTTTGTACATGTGTGAACGAAATCAGTTTTTTGTCTTGATATCATGTATGTAGGTACTATTATGTATCTTACGTTCATAATTTCTGTAATTCTCTGGTTTGTTATACTTTTCATTTTTGATCTGCCTGCCGGCTCTCCTCAAAAAGTCCATCTCAGTTGCTTCCAGCATTTTTGCGATTCTGTATTTTAGTGACCAGACCTCGGAGCTGTACCTAGTTATAGTTTTCACGATGGTGTGTATATCATAGTTTTGTTTGTTCGGTTCATCTTTTGGTCCCACCCGTCCCACCACTCCATTTAGTGGGATATTTCCTTCCGATCTTTAATTGCTGTGTCTAGGATTCCCCCATGCGAGATTTCCATACTCAAATAGTGCATTATTCAACTTCCTTCTTGTTATTCTATTCCAGGTTTCCCCTCCTATGGTCATACATTCTGTTTTTGTCAGATTACTATTCCTATATTAATAAATATGTGTCATGTTCTCTAGGACATCATAATCCTGTAAAATTTAAACTTGCTCATCTGCAAAGCTTAGAGAGTATATAGATTGTATTCACTGAGCGGTATCCTTATGTTTCTGCATTCCTTTTTCCACCACTTATAAGCGCTTGGTCCAAATGTATATTGAAAAAGTGAAGTTCTAAGTTAATATTGGTTTTTCCTAGTGCTTCCCATAGCTTTTTTAGTGGGATGTTTTCATATGCATTTTTTATATCCACAAATAGTAAATAAAGTTCTTCATATTTTACTTTGTTTCCTATTACCTACTGCTGGCCTTGTACTTGTTTTCTATTTTGATTTGTATAACTTTCCCATAGAAGTACCCTGATTAGTGTATTGGTCACTGCAAGCTGTGGATTTCGCTTTTGTTTCCGTTTCCTTCTTCTTCTTCTTGGTAGGTATCTTCCTACAGGACCTATTTTTGATTCAGTTGGGCCCCAAGGCCCAAACAAAACTTCGGGCCCCCAATATCCTATAATGATGATACCAGCGATAAGACCAACAGAACCGACATCCGTTAGCCGGTAACTATTTTGACATTTGGTTAATCAGATTCCAGGAAAAAAAAGTCCAAAAGTAACCACGTTTCCAGGAACCAGAGTAATTTGATTACTTTCGGACCGCGGAACCACAACCCACACAAAAGAACATACTGGAATATACGATATACGTTTTTTTGTGTGTTTATTTTCGAATTGAAATGTTAATTTTTTTTTTCAAGCCTTTTTCGGGGCCCCACTTTGTACCGGGCCCAAGGCCCAGACCTTATGGGCCTTATGGTAAAATAGGCCCTGTCTTCTCGTCTTTCAAACTCTTACATTTATGCCCCTTTTGAGCAAAAATAGACGCTTTTTCCAAGTAAAGCCGATTAAAAAAATTTAAACAAAATGGAACAAATTTGTATAGAGAATACATGAGAATATAGAGAACTCGATAAAAAACACCAAACAACAATAAACAGTCGGAACACAACAGTGACTACAAAACAGTCGGAACACAACAGTGACTACAGGTTATTCATCTTATCCTAGAATAGAGATGGGATAGTAAGTATCGATATATCGATAGTTTGCTACACTATCGAACTATCGATAGTTCTACTTGGACAATCGATAGCATTCCTCCTGTCTTTTCTTATGTCAGCAATGTCAAGTGTCAAGAAATATCATTTACATTTCATCTTTCATCAAGGCTCCCTACAGTTAATAGGTTGTCTGGCAATGAATAACTTGATGACGTCATCTGGTCTGTTGAAATCCAAATTAAAAACGATGAAGATGAGTAATGTTTCCTGTTTTCATCAGTTCGCAACAACAACCTACACAACTCAACTACACTTTATTTCAGCTCATAGTGGTGTTTATTTCTGTTCCTTACTTCCAGTTTAAAGAAAAAAGAATGTGTGTAATTAATTATTGTTATTCACAATATTAACTTAATTTCATTTTGGTATTTTTTCTCCCTCGTTGTGTTTGTATTGTAGCGCGTAGGCCGTAGGGGTAGGGCTTTCATCTTAGGCCTTCATCCGCACACTGCAGAACGTAAACCCTTTTTTTTATCGATAGTTATATCGATACATCGTAAGTTTTTATTAGCTACTATCGATATATCGATAGTTAGATTCTTCGATAGTTTCCTACCTCTATCCTAGAATCCTCTAAAAGGATGTGGAAGATGCAAACTCAACACAACAGATACAGATGAGGCCAAATTAATTTTCGATCTTACAAGAACCTCAGCACAGAGGAAAACCCAATACTTGAATTGTTGTCGTAAATCATAATAAGACAACTTGTTAGCCCTTCCACCTCCAATTTTCGCAAACTTTGAATGGTTTCAGAAATACTTCTGTGCTCTAGCTCATTTTTGTTCTACTGCTGTGTAGTTTGCCACATAAAGAATCCCCATCATCTTCCTTGTGAGAAACTATCTGAAAATTAAGGACATAAACTTTGAGTAGAAACTGCAAGATAAAGCAATATTGGACAACTTTGGCAATTTCTCCTGCAAAATCATGTTAGGCTAATCCAATGATACTAACGGTAGAAGTACATACGATACGTATGGCTAGAGCAAAAACATTTTCAAAGTTAGTCCTACGCTATTAAAAACTAAATTTTTCAATGTTGCTTTGCTTGTTTTTAAGCCCAGTTGTACAATTGAGCTAGAATTGTAGGTACAAAGGGGACTATACTGGCCTAATTGCCCATTTTAGAGGTTTTGAGTGTATTTTTGTAACATTTTTTTTTGCTATTGTCTTCGCATGCTACAAAATAAATCCTAATTGATATTGAAAATTAACGTTCGTTATATCGTTTTGCAGATATATCTAATGAAGAAAATCGGCAATTTCGAGCTCGATCCAACTCAGCTGAGTCTTGGGCAACGGCTGTGGGAGATAAAGGTGTGGTATTTAACTCAATAACTTAGTTTTTTATTTGACTTATCAAATTTTCGTCATGTATGTAGGGTGCATAGGTATATGTAATAGGTCTATACACAATGATATTGAATATTCGTATGGAAACTTTACCGTTACCTTACCAATTGCTCACCTTAGTCAAAAAATACCTCGTTTTGGTTAGTTAGGTCGTCAGAATTGGCTAAAATTATATTAAAACGTTGGGTTAGGACGTGGTAAGTTCATTTCTCTGTCATTCTTTCTTCTTGAGATGCATGTTCACTATATTTTTGAATTCCAAATATGTATGTGATATATATGAATTTTTTTTTTGCCTCCTTCTCAATGGCACTCAATCGTTTCCTAAACAGTACTTTAAATACTGATTTTAATACCAAATTCATTGTCTTTCCATTATGGAAACGTTTTCTTGTTCGAATACAAGTAGACCCTTATACCAGATTCTTCAATAGGTGAGGTAACGTAAAGTTATTGGGATTTCTACCGCTGAAATTGCAATATCATACTGTATACACCTTTTTTATACATTATTGAATCATTAGTATAGTATTCAATCAGTATAATAAGTTCTCAAATAACAGACACTATTTCTCTAGACTCGGTCACAGCTACGCCTCCACCACAAATTTCCACCCCACCAACTCCTGGCCAATCTCTGTCCTCTCCGTCACCCCTGATTCCAGAACCAGTGTCGCAACTTCACTTATCAACCCCTATAATTTCCGTTACACCTGCTCGTCCTAACAGTTTGGATCTAGACCAGCCCCAAAGGCCCGCCAGAGGGCACTTCAAGGCCGATCACTCTCGTGAGTTTTTTTTTTTTGGATTGATTGGTTGGTTTTTCATCTATTTTTTTTCTAACAACCTTTGGGGGATTTAGTTTTGCTGTTTAATTAAAATCAATTTTGCATTTATGTAATTATGTCACTAACTAACGCTCACTTTTTTTTTTAGCTAACCCCGTGCCAGTTGTTGTTAGGCTAAGAACTAAAAATAATTTTGGTAAGTTCAGCTCAAAGGCGAGTTCTGATGACTTTGGTAGGTGAATTGGTTTACCAATTATTGCTACCTGACAGAATCAGTCGAAAATATTATCCAAATTCGTTTGGTGGTTGGTAGGTTCCTACAAATGATCGCCAAAAATCCTGGCAAGACAAAACCTACCAACATCATAATAATAGAAACACTGCACCGGCAGTGAATTTCAAATAAAAGTTTCAAAGGGAGATAGACATTTACCACAAAACATGAGATATTTCAGAATTTTTCCAGCTAAAATCGCTTGATATTTGTTTGTGTGACAGAACTAGAATACCAAAGTCATCCAAAATCGTTTTAAATGTTGCTTTTCACTTTATATTTCCAGTTGTTCTCTATCAAAATATAAAATAATATTTATAATTTTTATAGGTCATGACGATAGGTCAAAACGACCAGACTCTTACCTTAAAGCCACAAAAGGTGAACAAACCTCTTTTGGTAGCGATCTCAGCGATTTTGAAGATGTATCACCACAGATGCTAAGAAGGTAAGTGAATAAGATATGCTTTTATACAATAAACTTCATAAATGTATCGGATTAAATTATTACATTGAAAATAATGGATGTGGTTCTTATTCTGAAGGTATTGGATATTTATTGTGCTTTTTGTGTTGGTGTCTGGATTCCTACACTGCTTTATTTTCTTGTTTAAATCACTGTCATTGCTGCTTTTAGCTTTCTACCGGCTAAGGTATATTGGTATGACAGATGACAAAATTATCCTTACTGAAATTAAAGTAAAAAAATTGAAACTTATGATTTTTCTTTCTCCTCCCTGTAGCCAGTATAGGAAGTGGCATCCCTCCCCGTTTTTTGGGGACATCGAGCAGCTGCGCAAATTGTTTGAGGAGACCGCCTCCTCCAAGGGGTGAGCACCCGTGTGTCTTTTGCTTGCAGGGCTCTCTAACCATATCGCTTGTTTTGTCTTGTACTAACAATAATATTAACTTTGGGCTTATTATTTGCAATAGGTTCATCTGAAATAGGTAATTTAGGAGCACATAAACTGACATGCCTTTCATTGAAACAACTCAATGCTTCTGCTTGATTCGAACAAGTCGCACACAGAGAGTAAAAAATTTGAAAATCTGTCTACGACAATTTTATGCATTTGGCCTTTAAATTAAGAAACCTCTCAAAGGCTCAGGTGTGAATTTTGAGATAAAAATTTGTCACTAAACAGTACATTTTGCTTGAATAAGTCATATGGTTCCAAGCTATGCAACCGATGTTAGGCCGTATTTTAATAAAGGTGAAAAACTTTATTTTTTCGCAGGTAGGTAAGTATATAAATTTGAGAGATTGCGCTATTATGCCGATTTCGACAGGAATCGTCAAGAAATACCTATGTCATAGGTGTATTTGATTTTATTAAAAAATACATCTATTTGTCGCTCATTTCCATTTGTAAAACGTCACTTATCAAGTTAAAACAAACAATGAAAATTATAAGCCACTGGTTGCTCTACTGACTTGTAAAAATGAATTCTTTGAGCAGACAGATGAAGTTGCAATAGGGAGTCCACTCAGCCCGGTTACCGCCAACTTCTACATGGAACACTTTGAACAAATGGTACTGCAAACGGCCACAAAGAAACCTACTTGTTGGTTTCGCTATGTAGATGACACTTTTGTTGTTTGGAACCATGGACATGCAGAGCTCGAAAACTTTTTTAATCATCTAAACTCAATAGAACCCAGGATACAGTTTACAATTGAAGTTAAGAAGGACAACAAAATTGCATTCTTCGACGTCCTCTTAGAAAGATTACCCTCAGAGAAACTGTGACACAGAGTATACAGGAAGCCGACGCATGCGGACAGATACCTCAACAAGGAATCCAATCACCATCGTAGGCAAAAGAGAGGAGTCATTAAAACTCTATCTGACAGGGCAATCCGGATTCGTGAACCCAGATACCTTCAGGATGAGATGCAACACCGAAACAACAGCGCGCAAATCATAAGGAACCAACACAGGTGGTAAAGAGAGCGTTTCTTCCCTACATCAAAAATGTCACAGATCGCATAGGACGAACGCTAGAAAAACACAACATTAAACCCATCTACAAGCCCACAAGAACAATCCAGCAAAATCTAAGATCGGCCAAGGATCCTAGGGCACCTCTTGAAACATCTGGCGTCTATAGAATTCCCTGCTCTTGTGGATCTGTCTATGTAGGAAAACCCAAATGCTCTATCAACACCAGGGTCAAAGAGCACATAAGAAGCTGTCAGCAGGGACAAATAGATAGATCAGCAATCGCCGAACAGGTGTTAACACAAACAAACTATGTCATTCGTTTCGACCAGACTCAGGCATTAGATAGGAGCAAACATTTCTACAACGGGTTCCACAGAGAAGCCATAGAGATACAGAAACACCACAACAACTTCAACAGAAAAGAAGAGGGCATGAACCTTAACAAAAGCTGGTTGCCAGTTCTCCGAAAAGCAAAGACCCTTCCTTTCCGAGAACGAGACAAGAAAAATAGCGTAATACAAGTCACGCCCACAATCCTGGATATGAATAACGCAAGTCCAACAACTTCAAATCCAATCATCGGAGGAACACGGAAGAGAACACTTCGTCCTCTACCACTCCGCCTCTGAAGATGTTCACCGCAGCAGTAGACGAAACGTTAGGTAGAAATATTACTCGACCACGGCATTATACCCCGGAAAAAACTTTCTTACTAGATTGAACTGGCCGTGAAAGCCTTCATTCTTTATTTGTTATAGAAACATCGAGAGAAACATAGAAATATTTTTAAAAAGTCTCTCCAACATTAGCTACCATCACAACTTGGCTATTAAACTATTTTGGAACTCTAGAGAGGGATGATGAAACTCGCAACAGATGACTTATGGGCGGATAGAAACGAATGGAGATTGGGAATCGGAAAACCGTCCTCCGATTCCAAACTAAAATCAACTTACTCATGATTCCACCATCTTGAGTAGTATTTTTATTTAATGATGAGAGCACCTTCTGAAAAGGGGAAAATCTAATAGGCATAATACAAAAATATAGTCTAGGAAAAATCTGTATGTTTCACCAAACTCATAACCAGATTTGTATTGAAAGTGAACGTTTGGGCATAAATTCTGGGGAAAGAATTGTTGGTCCATATTTCACAGAGAGCAATTATTCTGACAGATGTTTTAAAATTTAGGTCTCTGGGAGGCTGGATTGGATAACATTACGCTCGTATCATTTCTGTAGAGGGACATTTCACAAAACTGATCCATTTTCGAGGCATTTCTTGAAGCTCTGCCGAAATCGGCGCATTAGCCCAATATTTCTACTTTCTACTACATGAAGTTTTAGCTATTGGCTTTAAATGAAATAGGAAATAGGGCCTAACAAAGGATTGAAAATTCACCATATAAAACCCTTAAGCCGATTCCAAAAGGAGTAAATAAAAATTAAATATGGAGGTACATGAAAACTTATTTTAGAAAAAATATCTTCTATTTTGTTACCTATTAAAAAATACGATAAGTATCCTTATTTACCTTACAATACAAATAAGTGGCGCCAGGCCCATATAATTTTACTACAGTAGGTACCCAAAAGGTATGGCGCCAAATCCAATGTTTATCTGCCAATTTAGAAGATGATGGTACTCCAAAATTATATTAGTCAATAACCGCATGCATTTGATAAATAACAAAGTATTGATTTATAATAACAATAGAAATATAGAAAAATTACTAAGGCCTACAGTTTATACAAACATGCACCATTAATAATGTGAAATCCGCATCTTGCATGAATTGTTAGTAATTATGTATTGACCTACAACTTTCCAAAAACATGCAAATCTGAAAGTGAATTAACCAGAATTATTTAACAAGTTTTCAAAGAATTATTAGTTATGAATGGGACTGCTAATTTTGTAATATATGTTTTTCTTCAAATTTTAGCGACAGTAACAGTAGCAGTAATGTGTCTTTGGAACGAGATAAAGCTTCCGTCAGTCCGGTTCCGTTCAACACGGTGGTGCGCGAGGGTACTGTTAATTGTAAGATTTTGGAGATAGATGGAAAGGTAAGAATTTTATTTTTCATAGTGGAAACTACTTTTTTTTTCTCAGTATGTATCTTGAAATATTATTTCTAGGATGCACCTAAAAATGCATAACTGGAATTCGTTGTTTTTTTCTTTTTATTTTTACACGATTGGCATGTTTATCAAAAATCTGTGGGATGACGCTTGGCGTCTTCTTTTCCTCCTCCATCTCTACTAGTCGAATAAAATAGTATTTCTGGTAGGAAAGTTTTGGGTTAGTTTTGATTCTCTTCATTCCCTATGGATTTTGGGGTGCTGAATCCGAATCTAAGGTTTGCTAACAAAATTTCATTTCGCAAAATGCAAAAAAATCACAAAAAAGGTAGTTTTGGCAGTCTTTTGCTAATAACTCAGAAGCCAGAATTTTTCGGAAAAAACACCTGTATTCAAAATCAAAGTACATAAAATTAACCCTTTCATCCTTTATATTTTTTTCTCCGACGAACCGTTCGGGATCAATTGTTAGTTGAAAAGTGGCGTGTTTTATCTATTTCCACAAAAACCCACTTTTTATCTGCAAAACTCTAATTTATTATCTTCATCACTTTATTATTAAATTATCATATTATTTTGGCCGTTTTCTCTTAGAAGGTCCTAACTGAGGTTCCTTTATGGCGGACGTTCCTGGCAAAGGATCGGGCTCTTCCATAAACATCGGAGATTGAGAGGAATTGTGAAAAACAAACTTGTGATTTTGCGATCAGACATATCTACCACATTGTGCGAGCGTTCTTCTTCAGACAGTTCTTGGTCTTTTTCCTCGGACCTTTCTCGTCTATCTCAACGATGTCGTTCGGGGACTTGTCGTTTTCACACAACCTGTCTTCCCGAACCCACAATTCCGCTGGTAGCCTTCCTTGCATTTACAAAATATGCGCTGAAGTATTGAGTCCGGTGCTGGTTTCGAATGTGCACAAGATCACTGTTTTTTTCTACCCCCATTCGTTCGGGTCTCTTTGTTGTTCATTGAATATAGTTTGTCCAGGTAAACACTGCTGCACCTGAAAGTAAACTCTCTGTGAATGTTCTCGTGCAGCAGCTTCAGTGGGAGGTAGTGCGACAATGTTGGGTTTGCTTTTGTGAGATGATGATATATCATAAAACCTGCATCTCAAATCCTTTGAAATAGTCTCTCTGCTCCTTTCTCATACAAAGCTATGAGAAAGAAAAGAAACATGGCGCCTGCTTGGGTAATCTCCCTGGGCTGGAACTCTGTAGCGGATAAGGATCGTTATCCCTATCGCTATGGCACTTGCTGTCTTCCTCTTTCTTGTCGAAATCAATAGAGAGGAGACGTCAATAGAGATAGAGAAAATATCTACATTCGTTACAGAGTTCCAGCCCTGGGTCCTTATTCTCGAAACAGAGGATCAGCGTTCTCATGAGAACGATGCTTCAGTCTTCGTCACTCATATTCATATTTCTATAGTGACAAAGACAGAACCTTTGGTCTCTTGAGAACGCTGTTCCCCGGTTTCGAGAATAAGGACCCCGGTGAGCTCGAGGATAGGAAAACCTCAACATCTGGTACCAAGTCATTGTTTTTTTACAGTTTTTCAATTTCCTCTGCTTAAACAGAGCCGAAGTGGTGTGGTGCCACAACCGTTTACTCATCGCGTAAAAGAACTATATTATGATCTGATAGGGTTCTGTCTGATAGTTAAGGATCATAGATGGTGGGAGACACCTCTCCTTTTCCCGAATTCATGAAAGAGAATTTTTTTATAGAACATCTCTCCTCTTCTTACTTGACACAATAAACGTTATCAAACTTTTTTCCGGCATCGTTGTTATTTTCTAGAAATCATTATCCAGTATTTCATCAGAAATAAAACACAGGATCGAGGGCATTTTTAACTGTACGCGTAAACTGCATTGTGTTTAGTTATTTAAAACTAGGAGGAATTTACTAAATGAACTTTTATTACTAAATTAGGTTTTTGGCGTGAAAAAGGTGTGTTTTTGGGGAAACAAATAAAATATGATAATTTTTGACTAACGCTTGAAACGAAACGGCTTGTCCTACAAAAAAATTTAAGGGATGTAATTCATAGAAAATTTTAAATACTTTTATTTTAAATTGAGCTGTTTTTCCGAAAAATTAATAGTTTTCGAGTTCTAACGCAAAAGACTGTCTCAACTACAATTTTTTTTGCATCTCTTTCAATGTTGCTTCACGAAATTTTGTTAGCAAACCTCAGATTCGGATTCAGCACCCCAAAAAAACATAAAGAAAGAGGAAAATCAAAACTACCCCAAAACTTTATCGCGAGAGGCTCTTATGAGCACAAATTTATTGTACTATACTAGCTGAAACTTAAAATACATTTTCTTTTTAGCTATTTTTTTTGATTACTTAGGAACTTTTATAAATTAAAAATAATAATTAAAGGCATGTAATACTCAGGGCCACAAGTAAAATCACAGGATGCGAGTTTTACGTAAAAACTGCGGTAAACGAAAGTTACTTTAACAATGTGTCGTTCATAAAAATCGTGAATCAAATTTTGACCTCCTTTAACTGAAAACGCTTACTGAAAAACTTGCTAAATACATATAAACCTTTTTAGTAGGTATGTATTATGTACAGGATCTTTCAAACTTGATGGCCTATTTAAGTATACACATGTAGTTTTGGGTTTCGGTTCACGGTATTGCAGTTTTTTGGAATCAATAATAATAGTTCTATTTCCGAGTCTGTTTCCTGTTTCATTTCGACAGTCGTTACAAAAATCATCTACGAAGTCGCAGGCCTATAGTCTGCGCATCAGCCGCCTAGATGGCATGAGATAGCCGCCTTAATAGAGAGATATTGCGGCTCAATTAGGGCAAAACCTCAAGAAGTCGCAATAAGGCATCTCCTTATTCCAAATGCTGACATGTTGCAACCTTCGAGCTTTTTTTGTCGACGATGCCCCGGAATATAGCAAAAACTTTACAGATAAGGGCTGAGAATCAATTTAGTCCAGGAGCATCAATTAAATTCATTTTGCATATAGTATTATCACGACTCTGGCTTTCGTTACATTAAATCTTGGGTCCGTTTATTCCAAAATCAAAGTCCAATTAACACAGCAATAATTTATTTCACGTTACTATACACTCTGACACTAATTACTTCACTAATTAAATCAAACAACTGAACTCTTTACAACTCTTAACAACATTCACTATCTAAATCGCATAACAGCCAAACTTAAACTTAAACTACTAATACCGGCCTTTATATATCCGTAAATCTATTTATGTAAAATCCAGAATAAACGCGATAATCCGATTCAGATGCAGATAGATTCTGTACAGTTTGGTGAAGGCGCCACACTGTAACACTGCCCTTCTCTTAAGGTTGATCATCTCGATCAGCTTCACGCCCATGATATTTCGTCAATCTGTCCAAATGTACAACTTTCATCTTACGCGTGGTGTTGCGCTGAACTCGATAAACCAAATTATTAATCCTCTCGATTATTCTGGAGGGTCCTTCCCATGCTGAAGACAATTTCGGCAACACTCCTTTCTTTCTTGCTGGATTATACAGCCACACTAGATCACCTTCTTGAAATCCTGCTGAATTGGTTTTCAAGTCGTATCTGGTATTCATTCGGTCACTGGCCGGCTGAATATGCTCCCGAGCAAAATCATGTATCCCCAGAAGTCGTGCCCTTACTTCGTCGGCATAATCTTTTTCTTTTCGTTCTTCTTCAGGCATTCCAAACATCAGATCGCAAGGTAACCTGAATTCTCTTCCAAAAACGATTCTAGCTAGACTTTCACCTGTTGATTCGTGAATAGCTGCTCTGTAAGCCATTAAAAATAGAGGCAAGTGTTTGTCCCAATCTCGCTGGTTCTTTGCGACCACTTTTGTCAGGTGTTCCTTTATGGTCTTATTAAATAGTTCTACCATGCCATCAGACTGTGGATCGAAAGGTGTTGTCCTTGTCTTACGAATTCCCATGATCTTACAAATTTTCTTAAATATGGCAGATTCGAAATTTCGTCCCTGATCTCCAGTAGCACCTGGGCAATAGTGATGGCTTTTTGATTGGGAATAGCGAAAACTTCCGGCCATTTAGTGAAGTAATCCATGATAACCAAGATGTATTTGTTACCACATTCTGACTCAGGGAATGGTCCGGCAACATCTATCGCTATTCGTTCAAATGAGAGACCGACGTTGTACTGTTTCATGGGCCCCCAGATCTTAGTTTAGGGCCTTTACTGGTAGCACAGATGTCGCATTTTCGGCACCAGTTTTTAACGTCTTCATGATAGTGACCCAGTAAAAACGTTCCTGAACTTTGTCCAAAGTCTTGTTAACTCCAAAATGTGTCCCTGAAGTTCTCTCATGTATTTCTTTTATTACACCTTCTACTCGATCTTTTGGAAAAACCAGTGGGCTCTTAGTGGATTTCCCATCGGCACTTTCCCAAATTCTTTCGCATCTATCTTTCCTTCCATAACTTGTATGCCATCTTCAGATACCACGTTACTTGAGAATTCCACTTTCTTTTGAAATAGAAAACACTTATTTGGATTGCGTTTAAAGTTCGCATTCCGGAAGCGGTCAAAAACTTCTTTCAGGTTATTGAGATGTTCTTGAAACGAATTTCCCATGATCATGACATCATCTAAATATACCAGGCAAGTTCTCCATGTAAGGCCTCGAAAAACAAGATGCATCAGTCGCTCAAATGTAGCTGGAACATTACACATTCCGAAAGGCATTACGTTAAACTGGTATAACCCGCTTCCGGTACTGAAGGCAGTTTTCTCTTTTTCATCTTTGTGTATTGCCACTTGCCAGTATCCACTTTTGAGATCCAAGGTCGAAAACCATTTGGAGCCCGATAGAGTTGTTAATGTATCGTCTATCAGGGACGTAGCGAAGGTCACTGGTTTGGGTGGGGGGGGGGGGGGGGGGATATTCCTAATTTTCGCTTTATTGAAACAAAAAAGAATCATATGTACATCGTACACGTGTTAAGCAGTGAACATTCTTAAAAACTATTCCCTCCCTTATACAACTTTTAGACTTAGCGCATGAATCGGGGTCTAAAGACGAAAGGGTACACAAAAGACAAACACGCATCTGTAGTGACGTCACAAGGGTATCGGCACTTGACAATAATAGGCAGTTCTCTTTGCTTATTATCCTTGGTTTGTGTCAATCGTTCGTCGGCTTTCATTATCATTGACTGTATTTCTCCGTCTCTCTACGTTATATCTTTCTTCTCTCCCGTCTCTTGTGTAACGAAATTTGCCAAAACGTGCCGTTACGTGTAACGTGACGCGTCTTTCAAATCACTCTCCATTCTCGTCCAAATCACTCTCCATTCTCGTCCAAATCAGACCACCGCCTAAAAAGTTTTACTTCAAAAAAATCTTGTGTAGTATCGTACACGTGTTAAGAAGTGAAGGGTATCGGCGCTAGACAATAATAGGCAATCCTCTTTGCTTATAATTCTTGGTTTGTGTCAATCGTTCCTCGTCTGTCATTGTCATTGGCTCGCTTTCTCCGTCTCTCTACAGTCTATGTTATATCTTTCTTCTCTCTCTTCTCTCGTGTAACGAAATTGGCCAAAACGTGAAGCTATTTACGTGATTTGTCTTTCAAATCGCTCTATATATTCTCGTCTAAATATCAGACCGCCGCCTAAGAAGTTTCACTTCAAAAACTGATGAAAAGTTTGATATGTATCTATATATTCCAGACCTACAAATAATATATTCAAATAAAATAAATAGTGTATAAAAAACGTGTATAATAAAAATGTTTGAAAATACTATTTCTTCAACTCAAGAGCACAGGATTCAGAGCTTTGCTGAAATCTGAATCGCGAGCGAAGAATGCGCAAAACGCAGAAGGCAACATAAATAGGAAGTTTGAATTATCGAATGTAATACCACAAGAGGTTTCAGGATTACCGGATAATACTTTTACCTGTTACCTGTTACGAAACGTGACATGATCCTAATGTTAATTATAATTAATCTTCGCAAATAAAGTGCGCAAATTTTTGTCTACTAATTTTTCCCAACTTTAAATTTTTTATCCAAGTTTTCTCAACCCCCCCCCCCCTCATGGCTCCGTCCCTGTCGTCTATCCTCGGGAGAGGGAAGCTGTCCTTCTTGGTGACGTCATTAAGTTTTCGGTAGTCCACACAAAATCTAAGACTTCCATCTTTCTTCGTAACCAATAGTATCGGCGCAGACCATGGACTATTTCCCTCTTGAAGCATTTTATCAATTTGGTCTTCCACTTCCTGTTGCTTAGCTACTGGCATACCACAAGGTGGTTGTCTAATTGGGTGTGCCAATCTAGTATCAATAATGTGTTGAATTAAACTGGGAATTAAACTGGTCCGTCCGGTTTGATTATCCATCACAAATACATCTGCTTCTTTCAGGATGAAATCTATGGCTTTCTGAAGTCTATCTGGGTCGAGGTGTTACCATGATTTCTCCAAAGTCTGCATCAAGGTGTCTGTATGCAATTTCGATATTTGCTTAACTGGTTCGAGAGTTCCAATAATATCTCCTTCTTTTATTTTCAATGTTTCGGAAGAAACATTGGCAATTCTTATCATAATGTCTCCATTTGTTCTTACTAGAGTCTTTCCAACGAGAAATCTTTCTCCAATGAGATTATGTGTCAGTCCAACGCAGCACCCAGTGTCTGTTTCCAATTTTCCGCAAATGAACTTCACAGTACTTCCAGGAATCCTCACTGGGTTTGTGGCCAGGATCTTAACGGCTTGGGATTCTTCTTGTGTAGTTAGGACAAATTCTTCATTACCAAATTTAAGGATGTTCATAGAAGGATCGAAAGAGAAACTATGTTGGCCGTTGGCCGATCAAATCCATTCCCAAAATAAAATCATCTTTTATATCGGCGACTAATGTTCTGTGCTTGAAGGTGGTAGATCCAAAAGTAAGCTCAATCATAGCTTCTCCTTGAACTGGTGCTGATTCGCCCGTGACTGTTCGTAGTGACAGGTTTCTAGTGAGTGGTTGGATTGCCCGAGACTTGACTAATGTTTTCCAATTATAGAAATTTCAGGACCCGTATCCAAAGTGATGGTTTTGAATAATTCTCCATTAATTTGTCCTTCGAATTTTAATCCTCTATAATGACTGCCCAATGATTTTATGTGAACAATCCTGGGCGCTTCGTCATTACTAGCCAGCATCTGCCCCTCCGTACTGGTTGGTTTCCTGTCTGTTATTAGTGCTGGCGTCTCTAGATCTTGAAAAGCGTTGGGAACGATCCCTAGATGGCGAGGACATCCTTACTCTACAATCCCATTGCATGTGTCCAAGCTTATGGCACCGGTAACATTCGACTCGGTTTCTCGGTGTTGGTGTTTGTCTAGAGTCGTTTCCCATTTGTCTACTTTCTAGTAATAGTTTCTCTATTTTCTCCATTTCCTCCACGAAATTACTTATATTACATTCTCAATGCTACCATCCTCTTTTGACGATTGTTTATCCGTTGGGTCTTCAATGGACACTGCTCGTATTCTGGGTCGTGAGGCAAAGATTGCTTCCAGTTCCAATGCTCGGACAAGGGCTTCGCTACTTTGTCTGAACTTAGACATTCTCAGGTTTTCCTGGATCTTGGAATCTCTGAGAACATCAATGAACGCGGATACTGCCATCCATTCCTGCATGTCTTCCCCAGTTGCAGGAAACACCAAACTCACTAGTCTCTTAACTTCCGATTCGAATTATTGTAAACTCTCGCCGGGTTTTTAAATTCTTGATTTAACTTGAGTTCTAAATACTTCTTGTCTGACTTAGATGCTGGTAATTCTGCTGGTAGATTGAAGGAATGGACTGAAGAAGATCACTATCACTACTATTAGTGCTGCTGCTTTTTCTTGATCGTTCCATCCGCTGGTATTTGCAGCAGCTTCAAATTGTCGGATACACATGGTCCAGGACGTAGAACCGTCAAAAGTTGGTGGTTTTATCTTCATACTAGAGAATGCTCCAACACTAACTGGATTGATGGACTGTATTTCTAATTAATTCACCTTAGCGTCAAGTGCTTGAACTTGGTCATCAACTTCTTGTTTTAATTGCTGAACATCGTCTTTGACTTCTTGAACATTGTCTTTAACTTTTTGAACATCGTCTTTAATTTCTTGAACATCTTCTTTAACTTCGGCTTTAACTTCCTTAATTTTTTGTTCCAGATTAACGACAGATCCTTGTATGGTTTGTAATATTTTCTACAGTTGTCCAACGTCTTCTTGCCGTTCTTGTTGTCGTCTAGCTTCTTCTTCTTCTTCTTGTTTTTCTTTTAGTTGTTTAGCCTCTTCTTGTTGTCGTCTAGCTTCTTCTTCCTTTTTTTTCTTTTTGTCGCCTGGCCTCTTTCTCTTGTTTTTCTTGTTGTCGCCTGGCCTCTTCGTCTTGTTTTTCTTTTTGTAGTTTGAACTCTTGAAGCTCCAACATTTTGCGCAGAGGTTCTTCAATTTTTTGTTCTTCTATTTTTGCTTGTCTCGTAATAGGCACATACAGAATGTTCTGGAATTTTCCTCAAACTCATCTCTTTAAATATCTTTCCTGGTCTTCGATTGAAGTTCCAAACACGTCAGTGAAGTCACACATTGGATGACTTGCTTTATTCTCGAATAGAATGTTCTAGAATTTTCTCGGAATGTCTTTTCTGGATGTCGATTGATATAGCAAACACGTCGGTGAAGTCACAAATTCGATATATCCCGAATTTTCTAGATCTTACCTGAAAATTCACTAACACAGTGAAAATCGGGTATATAGTCACTTCCGGGGTAATTTACACAATGGGTTAAGTCTCTTTTGGTGATTGTCACTGCTCACACTGACTAACTGTCCCAATATTCAATATAGTGTCCACACTTAGTGTCCGCGCACTATTCTGCAATCGGATTTCACTTTGCAGTCCTCGAATTATATATATCTCACTTCTGACAGTCAGTATTTTCTAGATTCGAAGTTAGATTCGGTACAGTTTGGTGAAGGCGCCACACCGTAACTCTATTATTGTATTGTTCTGGATTAAGTACTAAATTTCTTGCATTAAAAATTTGAAATATCTTTCAAGAAAATTGGAAAGTAATTTTAAACATTATTTAAACTGAATAATTTCAAACCAATATTGTACCTACTTAAAAGCGGTTACCGGTTACCTGACCTCCTGACTAAACGCAGGTCGGCTGATAAAGGAACATACTTTTTTGTACGAATCTCGAATATCTATGGCGGATACTAAACCATTCATTGCAAACTCCACCAACCTATTTCACTTTTGGGGTGTGATACTTGCCTCCCTCTCAAGGTGATAGCAAAGTATGTGATAGCTAATTCTAAAGGTTTTCTTACCCTCATTGTACCACCCTGGTTCGAAGTCGCTAGCTCTTGTGATTAATTGTTTAAAACTAAAAACAAAAACTTTCTCGAAGATTTTGAGAAGCTCTCATATAAATGGGAGTGAGAGCAGATACTTCAGATTTGGCAGTTTCAATAAGGGCAGAAAGACCTTTAAAGTGAAGTATGACTCGAGACTCGATACCCCTCCCCATTTAACATTTTGGTGGTGAATCTCAGCCCCACTCAGGGGGTAAGGTTACAAAACTAACAGGTCCGAGCGTTTTTCGATTTTTTTAGCACTTGCTGAAAAGCTTGGGATGAAATTTTTTCGATGCGGCCATACTGTATAATATCTATGTAACTAGTTCCGAAATAATCTCTCAGACAAGTTCCTTAAATTTATGTAATTCCAACCCTGTCTAAAATTAAGTGGTCAAATTCTTGCAAGGTTTTATGATGTTTTTGAAAGATGACCGGAAGAGCATTTATGCCATAGACACTGTAAAAATCACACAACGCATCTTAAGCCTTTTTCTTTTAATTTCAGCGTGCAGCAGATAGATCTTGGAAGCAAGTGCTGATGGTTTTGAAAGGTCCTAAACTGTTTCTTTTCAAAGATCGACATCATCAGGTAAGTTTGTTTTTGTTAATTTTATATTTCTTGGTAATTAGCTTCGAATTTATGCAATAAATAGGATATTGAGAATGTGAAATTTAAGAATTGCAAATTTTTCTTGATCATAGTCTTAACATAAGATACATTTTCTAAAATTCAGACTGGGTTAATTTATATAGGTACACGTTAGGCATCATACGTTTTATGTCTCGAAAGAATATCTAATGACATACAAAATGTTTTTTCTAGTACCATTTAAGGCGTTCAAAAATTTTAAAAGCCCGTTTACTGTAAGCAAAATGAATGCAATTAAAATTAATTTGTTTTTTTTTTATAAATGATTCATGAACATATTTTAAATATTTTCCTTCGAGTATAACATGCTTCGTGGTTATTGGTAACTAATTTCCCATAACAACTTGTTGTAAGTGACTTTCAAACTCCCAATTAAGAGACTGGGAATGTCCATCCATAATGCACTGAATGTTGGGATTTGAATTGAAAATAAGTCCGAGATTTGGTTCAAATTCAAAAGTATAAACCTTCTAATTATAATAAAATTTTGCACCAAAACATGAACGTGACAAAAATTGTTGTTGCGTCAAGTCTACGTTTCTTTATGGAATGTCAAAATGGCGAGTCGGTATGCATAACAAAAAGGAAATCGCATTAACACTTAAACATCTTCATATGGTTGCAACTTCCGCCCATCTATCTACGATGGTTACCAAACGGTGGCATCAATTATAAATAAATGTTGTTAGATTACTTATTGCGAGTTTGTTGTTTAGTGGAATGGCGAGCTATTCAGGACAATAAAATCCTAAGTAGGTAACAGAAAAAAAAATCTTGAAGGGAGTCGTTTTGCGTATTTTACTAATGAAATCGTTATTTTGATAATAATAATCGGGTGCAGCGCTGAGGGATGTGTTTTAGAGACATCTTTCGAACCTATCTTGACTCTGGATTTTTCATAATATATAAATCAATGATTCACAAGCTCCATAATCCTTTAATCCCAGAGTATTCCATTTAACATGGATATTGTTTCTTCCCTGTACATTTCCAAGCTGGCGTAGTCCTGAGCCACTCTATTTGATCATCAGTAATAATACTTAAAGCGTGCGTTCTTCTGTGGGTATGCCCGCATGTTCTGATTTTTTTTCCATATTTTGAGATGTTGTTTCAGATCGTAGGAGAAATACAATAAGGTTGTTGAAGCTGTAAATTATCTTTGAAAAACACAAGTTTTAATCAATGCTCCAAACATACTGTTAGGTACTCATACTATGAGTATTAACGTCGATAGCTGAACCGGTCTGCAATTAGCGCCAGTACCCAATCATTGAGAATTCGGGTTTCTCCATTGTCTTATGTCTGGTTTATACTTCTGAATTAAGAATTAAATTAAATTGAGATTAAACGAAAAATTTAAATGTTAAATCTCCATAATTTGATGCTGTCGTTTATACCTCAATTTAAAAAAATTAATCAAATTAAATTAAATTAAAGTTGGCTAACTTTCAACTAAAAATTGAGAATTAGGGAGATCGTTCTAGTCCGTTAAATTCGGAAGCCATGATCCATAAAATCAGCTAAATGCACGGTAAATGTCAATATGTTTGTTGTCACTCTAGCTGGCTTTTGTTTCCTTTCTGTGATTTGAATTCGTAAAGAGCTAGGTAATTTCGGAAAATCCTTAATTCTTAATTTTAAGTATAAACTGCATTTCTAAAGTTTAGTTTGATTTAATTTTCAATTTATTTCTTAGTTTAGTTCAATTCTTAATTTTGGAAGTATAAACCAGTCATTATATAAATCAAAACCACATGTACTGAGTAAATTTGACCGTTTCAGAACAGTACAACTCATAAACCTTGTATTTTTCAAAGATTATTTCCAACAGCTTCAACTTTATTTGATTCGGAAAACGTATTTTCGAAATCCTAATTTTCAGAAATACAATACCCTTTTTAAGTCCTTTCTTGACTTTAAATTCTTTGGTCAGCGGTTGTTTTATTTTCACTTTCGCCTCGATAATGGGTATAGTTCTTTAATTTTCTTAAGTTGTTGAAGGTTTATATTAGTTTCCAGAGTATATTTAGGCTACACTGTCGTAGGCTTTTTGTAGATCTTCATACAGCAGATGTGATTCTTATCCATGTGCTATTTTTCTATCCAATCACCTGTGTTATACTAAACAGATGGTCGACCGTCAGTATGCTTGCCCTAAACCCGGCTTGCTATTCTGATTCCATATCTTTGTACTCGTTTTTAAATCTGTTCTTTATTATTTTCCATAGTTTCTACTCAGCGTACTAGTCACAGAAATAGCTCTATAATTGTCGCAGCCGTTTTTTTTTTTTTTTGTGAATGGTGAATATGTAAGAAGTGTTCAATTCCTTTGATACTTTGCTTCCCTTGAACGTTTACCTATTTTTGGAACAGATGCCGTATTGGACAAAATGGTCCTTCAGTGCCACATTTAAACAATTCAGCCGAAATATTACTCGCTGCAGAATCATTTCCATTCTTTAGATTTATACACACTTTCTTGACCTCCAGGAAGAGTCAGCAATATCGGAGAGCCAATAGTTTTGTTAACATTACGGATAACTTCTTCTTGAAACTCTGCTCGTTCTCCTGTTAGTTGATCTTTTGAAGTATTGATCTCATTCAATATATGTTATTGGAGATATAATCTCTATATAGGTTTCTTTCCTCGATCTTCCTATAACTTTCCAACTCTCCGTGCTACTTTGACCTCCTATACAGACAGGGTGACACAAGTAATAGGGAACAATCTATAACTTTTTTGATATATAAGTTGAAAATCTGAAATTTGGGGAGCTTGAACGAGGCAACTTTTTGAGTTTTTCGGAAGTAAATTGCGTTACCAGTCACTTCCAGTTTAACCGGAAGTGGCCATAACTTTTAATTTTCAAATGGGACATCCGGTATTTTTTAAGTTTTCTGGCATCAGCAAATCATTTTACGTATGATGGCATCATTTTTGAAAGATTTATCACAAAAACAACAAAAAAATTGCATTTAAAAATAAAAAAAATCCAAAAGTTGTTGGGTTATTTCTTAGTGGATTTTAAAAATGTTGATATGAAAAATAGGGAAAAAAATCTAGTTTCAAAAAATTGATAGGTCCCGGCTTGGTTACATTTGAAAAATATGGAATACTTTGAAAAAACCTCTTTGTTTAATTTTGATCTGAAATTATGGCGTTCAGTTAGGAAAAAATTAAAGTTACAGATTTTCCTGATAATAGGTTTGTTTTGGTTTCACTCAGAACTTGTTCGGAATCATTGTGCACATGCGCATGTTCTAAAACGCGTTTTCGTTTTTTCAGAATCGTAATCGAACTGTGTTGACAGCGTTTTGGTTTATTTAGAACTATATAAGAACACTTCTGGGATTGTTCTAGAACGGTTCTCTCAGTTCTTGATCTGATGGGGGAACTGTTTTGGAATTTTGTGATTTTCGGCTTGCTTTGGTTTTTTTGGTTCCGAATCGGTTCAGAATTAGTATTAGAACAGTTCTCCATTATTTTTTGTGCGCAAGCAGTTCTACGCCATCCCAGAACCGTTCCAAATTTCGAACGAGAACAAAGCTAGTAAGAATATCTAACTAAACTGTATTTTTTCCCAAGATAGATTTTGACATTGGCAACTTTGAAACATGAAGAATGCCGCCTATTGATCGCAAGATGCCAATTGCACGACATACAATTGCTGATTTCAACCTGTAGGGACACCTCATTTTGCGACCAATCAGGGCCAAGCGGTATTGTTTATGTTTCAAAGTTTTCAATGTCAAAGTCCATCTTGGGAAAAAAATATACCATAAATCAATTTACACTAGAGGCATCGCCGATTTTTTTTTTTTTTTAATTAATTCAATTTATTTTTTTTTGTTATAAATTTTCCAAAAATGGTCCTATCATACTTAAAATGATCTGCTGATGATGAAAATCAAAAGTTATGGCCACTTCCGGTTAAACCGGAAGTGACTGGCAACGCAATTTACTTCTAAATAACTCAAAAAGTTGCCTCGTTTAAGCTCTCCAAATTTCAAATTTTCACCTTGTATATTAAAAAAGTTATATAGGGTGGTTTCCTATTCCTTGTGTCACCTTGTATATGAGTCTTTGTTGTAGCATCCTCTACTCCATCATTCATTTTTCTTTGACGATCAATCTTCTTTCTTTGTGCTTAATTCTGATTTGTTTATAAGTATGAGTAGTATTAGTGTTGTATAGTTTTCTCTCATTTAGGGCTTTATTCTTTCCGAGCTAGTTCTTCATTTGTGGCTTGGTGGATGCTTTTTTTTATATTAGTCCACTCACAAAAGACAAAGTCTATACTAAGCGGTACCATGGGCGGAAGAAATGCAGTGACGATTAACCCTCTGTTTGAACACGTTGAGGTTGTTTTGATAGTTTCTTATTCTTCATCAGAGTTTTCAACTGGCGATGCTCTAAGTTTCCTGTTCAGTCTTCTTTAGTAGAAGTTCAGGCTCTATGGTTTTTAGATTGTATCTATACTGGTCAGTCTCTTCTCCCATGCTTTGTCTCTGATAACGAAAGAAGATTCTGGCATTCAGAAAATAGTAGTTATTTCCGCATGTCGTTCCACTTTGGGCTCTGACATCCTGTATTCTCAATTTCCTTTAGTAAAATTTAAAAAGGCTTGGTCTACACCATTTCAACCACAATTTCGGAAAAAGTAACTTTCATTTAGGAAAATGTAAAGTCATTTTCGGAAAAAGTCAAATCAATTTCAGAAAAGGTAAAGTTAATTTCGGAAAAAGTAAATTCAAGTTCGGAAAAAGTAAATTCAAATTCGGAAAAAGTGAATTTAAATTCGGAAAAAATACATTCAATTACGGAGAAAGTAATGTTATTTTTTTAGACTAATTTGAATTGATTGAGTCATTTATCTATTTAAAAAATCAGAAAATTTGTCCATATTTCTTGAAGAGACCCGATTTTTAAACAATATAAA